TTATATTCCGGTAAAAAGTTTAGTACGTTAAAAGATACTTAACCGATACTATAATAAACCTTTAACGGGTTACTTTAAAAGGGTTAAAATAAAAGAAATAATAAAAAGAAAATTCTATTAATTAAGTATAATTAAAGATATATATAAATTTATCGATTCGTATCCGATTTATTAACGAATCGTTACGAAAAGATATAAATTATATAAAGAGTTATAACCTTTACTAATCTTATAAAAACCTTAATAAAAGATTTTTATAAATTTTATTATACGATTACTTATCGTTTACTATTAAAAAGAACTAGTAAATAGTATCCTAGTAATAATCGACCGATACACGAAAATATATCGTTTCTTTCTAGTTTTAACTACTATTACGTCCGAAGGACTAGTACGAATAGTATATAATAAGATTAAAAACCGGTACGGGACACTTAAAAGAATTATCTCCGATAAAAGAAGTGTATTTACAAGTTAATTTTAACTAAAAATATATATAACGTTATTAATTCACCGGAGACTTTTAATAATATACCACCTTTAAACCGATAAATAAACTAAACGTATAAACTAAACTTTAAAATATTATTTAAAAGTATTCTTTAACGACGAGTAGTCGAATTAACCGTTACTTTTATAAAACGTAAAGTTTACGGTTAATAATATTATTAACGTAACTATTAAAGTTACACTTTTTAATATATTATACGGATATAATCTAAATATATATATTAACGTCGAGACCGACGTTTACGAAAAGGGGGTACTAGTTATTACGGATAAGATCGAGAAAATTTATACCTTTAAAAAAAAGGTAAAGAATTATTAAAAAAAAACTTAAAAAGTGTATAAAAAATACTATAATAAAAAGTACTAATTAAAAACTTTTAAAGTAAAAGATCTCGTCGTATTATTAACGTAAAATCTTAAATTATAAGTGGTTAAAAAGAAAATAGTATTAAAATTTATTAAACCCTTTAAAGTTATTAAAGAAATTAACTTATAAGTATATAAACTAACGTTATTATAAGTATATAACCGTATTTATAATATATTCTCGGTCTCCTTACTAAAACTTTAAAAGTCCCGAAAAAAGGAGTCGGTAAAGAAAATACCGTTACCCGTACTCGAAAAGGACTAAAAGGAATAAAAAGTAAAAGTAGTTAAAGATAAAACGAAACGTAATAAAAAGGTCTACTATTTAATAAAATAAGTAAGATAACCCGTAAAATATAACTAATAAGTATTTAAAAAGGATATAAAATATACTAAAAAGGTTATTTAAGATTACGAGAAAAAGTATAAAAAAATTACTCTGTAAAAAAGAAAGTAAATTTATAAAATTATTATTTAAATTCGACTAACGACTTTACGGTAAAACGTAAGTGTAACGTATATTAAAAACGTTTATTTAATAAAGAAAGATTTAAATAACGACTTTATAACGATATATAAACGTTATACGTTAAAAGTGTTTATTTAATTAAAAAAATATAAAGAACGACTCAGTACGTAAACGACTTAACTACGTACTTATAACGTTTAATTTAAAAAAAAACTATTATTAATACTTAATACGACTTAATAAGGATAAACGAGCGATATACGACGAAGGCGTTTTAAAAAAGAGAGGGGTTAAAACGACGTTTACGACGTTTTACGTAAACGAAAAAAAGGTCCTTTTCGGTTACGTTTTAGTCGATTAAGTTAAAGAAGATACGACGATCCTTTAACTACTTTTAATATAAAGGATCCCCGGGCCCGAGTCGTAAGTAAAACCGTTTAAAGTCCGACTTATTATTATTAGTAACGAAAAGGATACGGTTACGAATAACTTACGACTTTATTACGATTCCTTTATAAACGGTCCGATTTACCGTTTTATTAAAACTAATAACTAACTAATAGACTTTTTTATAACTTCGTACGAGTACTATTAACCGGTATATAAATTCGTTTATAATATATAATAAAGTTAAAAACGTTTCCTCGTCCGGTTTTAACGAAAGGTCGATCACTTTAATAATAATACGAAGAACGACGTAAACGTTTTTTATAAATAATATAAAAACCTTTTTATAAGAATAATAACGAACCTCGTATTACTAATATCTCGTCGTTACTTTACGTACGTAACGTAAAGTTTAACGAAAGTTAACGTTTTAAAAGTTATTAACCGTATTAAAAAAACAAGTAATATACGTATAAACTTAAAGGTCGGTAGTAAACTCCGACTCGGGGTCGTCGTTATTTTAAATCTTTAACGACTCGTCGTCGGATTTATTATTTATTATATCACTATCCTCGTTTAAGTATATATTATTAAAGGTATCGTAGTCCGGTGTTTTATAAGTAAAGTGTTAAAAAGTCGTAAACGAGACTTATATTATAAAAGAAACGGGAGTAGTATCGTTAGTAATACGTGACCGAATCGTAAAAGTGACGGGAGTTATAACGGGTTAAAGACGATTAGTATTCGAAGGGTTTACGACTACGTTATAAAACGTAAAGTTATTAAACGGTTAAAGACGGTTTAAACCTAAAAGGTTTACGATTTAAAAACGAGACGTAAAAGAAATAATTTTAAAAGACGAAATAAACGGAACTATAAACGAGTTAAACGATAAGTCCGAAAAGAACGGATACGATTAAGATTCTTTTACGGGTAGTAAAGTTACTTATTAAATAGGTCGTAATATATTAAACTAAAGTTAAAAAGGTTTAACGACTATCGAACGACTCGTAAACGAATTAACGTCGATACGTCGGACGATAATACGAACGTAAATGTATTCTTTAACCTTCGACACTACGAGTTAACTAGTATAAAAAAAAGTAAACGAACGACGAAACGAGTCCGTAATACGTCGGATAAACGTACGGTTTAATACGGTCGATAAACGTTAAGTAGTTAAACCCGAATTATTTACGTTACTACGTAAAGACGGAGAGATAAGGGGTAAAGACTACGAAATTCTTATTATAATATCGTTTAAAGATTTATCTCCGTCGTATTTATAACGTTAAAGAGTTTTAAAAGGTATATTAAAAAATATTAATTAAAAACGACTCTCGAATAAATAAACTACGATATATTAACGAATAAAAAAGAGTTGTTAAAAAAACTCGATTAATAATTTATAAGTAATAAATAATCGATAATTTTACGAAGTGTTAAAAAAAAAGAGGAAAGAAAACGAGTTACGATTCTTTTATAAGTAAAAAATAATTTACTTAAAAAGTATTCGTTAAATTAAAAACGGGTAAAAAGTAAAAAGGGTAAAAGTAAGTTATAATAAAGGTTTAATCGAATAACTAACTTTATACTCGTATATAAAGAAAAAACGATAAAAGTAAATAACGTTTATAAAAAAAGTAATATTTACGAATAAACGTTTTAAGTAAAAATAACCCGTAAACACTCGTCGTTACTTATTTACTATACAACTATTAATATACTTTATAAAAACGACGACGTTAAACGGTATTTAACCGAAAACGAAAATATTTATTTAAATATCGACGTTTAACGATAAATAGTTTAAATACGTTTAACACTTTTAAGTCTCGTACTACGTTAATAATCGACGGACCGGACTATTATATAATATAAAAGATTATAAAGTAACTCGTATACGAATTAACGGACTATTATATATAGTTAAAAGACTAACTACAACTTTCGATACTCTTTATCCGAGTAAAAGTAAAAAGATTAAAAGAAGTCGTAAAAAGAACTAAGGTTTAATTTATCGAAAAAGGAGAATAATTATTATAATCGATTCGTAACCAAAGACCACGAATCAAGTAACTAAACTTATATAATAAGACGTAGTATAACTAGTCCCTAACTACACGTTAACGTCACACTAGTAAAAAACCTTTTCTCCTTAAATAAGAGGACTCCCTTCTTCCCACCGGGAAGAAGGGGTAAGAATTAGTCTCTGTTACAATACACACCTACCTTCGCCCTCGAAACTAATACTTTTTATCAACTAATCTATTGTGAAGACCTATCTTACAATCACTTATAATAATAAACGGTTAAACCTTCGTTAAAATTTTCCCGTCGATAAGACTTTTACGTATTACTTTACGGTTTCGTTATTATAAATGGTTATAAGATAGGTTTTTATAATAGATTAGTTAATAAAAAACACTGGTTTTTTAAGGGCGAAAGTAAGTGTGTATTATAATAAAGACTAATTCTTACCCCTTCTTCGTAAAGGGGGAAGAAGGGGGTCCTTTTATTTAAGGAGAAAGGCTTCTTATTAGCGTGGCGTTAACGTGTGGCTGGGGACCAGCCACACCACGCCCCATTAGGTAAGCCTAGTCACTTGACTCGTGGCCTTCGGCCACGAATCGGTCATGACAATAAACCTGTATTCTTATAACATTATTATTTATAATCACTATCTTATTACGACATGTTGATTTATTGTTCGACCGGTACACCTTCTTATCGTCTTTGTAACACACACTGTTTAATTTTCGTAATAGGTTTGTTTAAGATAAATTATCTTAAGTGCTCCACGTATTTTCACCCGTTCTGTCCAATAGGAGCGTACTAGGTCTCGCCCCACTTTTTGGGTAGCAACGTTCTGACAGATTATTAATTCTGCCGTATTTTCTGCGTAAGGCGGTGAGACTACCTTATTGGTCGGAAGTGTCCGGAGTACTAGCACGTAAAGCAGCTCCTTTCACGTGGCCAAATTTTCGAAGAACTCCTTTGCAAACCCCGACTGGAAAAGATTTCGCAACGCAACAATACACTCATCCTCCCAACGCGAACTACCACAATGGATAGATCTTATAAGGTATGCAGCTTACCTCCCTCCTTTTATTTTTTTATAAAATGTGATTTAACTTTAAAGAATGCAATCGCATTTTTGGACTCCAGGCGACGCCCAGGAAGACCTACCACGAGCTCGTTATCTCGACTTACTGAACAACGCCTCCCAAATGCGCCTACTTTCCTAGGGACGCCTTCCATCGAGGGAATGAAAACATGGCTGAACAAGCTAGGCTACACGGTGTGTACTATTCTTTTATCTAAGTCCTGTAGTGTCTAATCGTGGCACGTGTTCCCTAGGACGAACGGATCAACGGCCTCAACATCGTTCACGTTGCTGGAACTAAGGGAAAGGGAAGCACTTGCGCCTTCGTGGAGAGCTTCCTCAGAGCACATGGACGGAGAACCGGTGCTACGCAGAAAGTAGGACTCTATACCTCGCCTCATTTGATTGAGTTGAATGAGAGGATTCGAATCAACTTTGATCCTCTGCCGCAACACATCTTTGCGCAGTATGCTTTCGAAGTGCGTGATGGTCTCGACATCCAACCAACCGATCCCCGACCACGGTATCTACAACTTCTAGCGCTCATTTCTTTCCACGCCTTCTTTAAGGAGGGAGTCGACGTTGCCATCTACGAAACGCACCATGGAGGCGAGTTCTGTGCAACGAACGTGGTCCAGCACCCTGTCGTGACTGGAATCACAAGCATCGGCATGGACCATGTCCACGACTTAGGGCCGACGGTCGAAAACATTGCCTGGCATAAGGCTGGGATCTTCAAGACAGGCACCCCTGCCTTTTCACAACCCCAGACAGTGGAAGTGACTGAGGTTCTTCAACAGCAAGCGGCCAAGAAAGGCGTGGATCTCAAGTTTGTCACGGCTCACGACACTTTCCCGAGCAGCCTCCAAGAAGAACAACTGATGAACGCTTCTTTGGCGCGCGAGATAACGGATTGCTTCTTGGAGAGCAAATACCCCGACGCGCCAGCCTTGACGTCTCAAGACATACATGATGGTGTACAACAATTCTCCTGGCCAGGCCGCTTCCAAACGGTTTCGGACGGCAAGTACCTTTGGTGCTTGGACGGCGCACACAATGAAATAAGCATAGAGAAAGCAGCGTTGTGGTTTCAAAGGCTGTCTCGGCGGTTGGTCCTGTCCTTTTCTCCCCCCCCCGCCTCCCATATTCGTCGTTTCTAATTGTTGTAGTAATTGCTTACGTATTCTTGTCTTTGCGCAAAAATCATTCCACCGAGACAGTGTTGGTGTTCTTAAGCGATTAGCGGCATCAATCAACGTCGAGATCAACCATGCGATCTTTACCAAATTTGAAGACAACGAAAAAGGTATGTGATGCATCTTCATTCGGTCCAAGTAGCGACTTGCTAAATGACATCCAGCTACAGATCAAGCACTTTTAAATGAGTTTGGCAAATGCTGGACGGATACGTTTCCAGAAACGAAAGTATGGAGTGACTTCACACATGGTCAGGTTATGGCGCGCGTTGAAGAGCTGGGGAAAGGGGCGCAGGATGTCGACGTTTTGGTCACAGGGAGTCTTCATTTAGTTGGATCTATTCTCCGCTGTCTTTCTAAGGAGGCCGGGGACAATATGCGCGAACGACACTGATAGTTATTTTTATTGTCGTTTTTATAGAAAAGCGAAGAGTGTCGACCTGGGAAAAAAATCCCCGTATGGATATGTCAACGATCACAAAATGCCATGCGGGATGACGCTTCGGGCAATAGGAACAACATTGAAGTGGTCAGCACCTACCGGGGACGTCTTTAGAATACCGGAGGCAATGAGATGGCTGGAGCAAACCTCATGGACGTATTATATGGACGAGAACTGGGAGATGGAGGCGACGTTGTAGCCCTTTCTTTATATGCTACCTGGCCTGTCTGGTCAGAGAGAAATCTCGTTTTCCAGTTGGTTGTACGATAGGCGAGAACTCAGTAGGGCCAGGCTACGGAACTAGAGCACATAATGAGTCGCGATGCTGCCTTTCTTTGCTTGTTTAATCCATTAGTCCAGCTGATGTACTGCACAGTAATAGCGAGAAGTGCCAGCCTAAAATAGTATGAAATAAAACTACAAGATACTGTGTCGTCAAGGACATGGGCCGCCCCCACGGGCCAACACAGCGGGACAAAAGACACATCACCGATTCCTCCACGGCTAGGAAGGCTGTGGCTCACTCCCAGAACACAAGGACCAATCAGTGACAGAGCAAGCTATCTCATACGGCGTATGATTGGCGACAATTTACATTGAGGGCAACACAGAAGAGGCAGTGTGAAGGGTACTTCTATTTCATACAAACGGAAACGACTGGGTCTGTGAGAGGGTTCCGAGGGATAAGGGATGTCAATAAAGAGAGGTTACTCTGTAGAGGTTGTCTTGTTGCCCCGGCCGAAAATGGGCGATCGGACAGCGGCCCGCTAATTGTACCACTAAATCACCGACGCTTGATTGTTTTGTTGACTTGCTTGATATTGTGATTCTAGACGATTTATGAGCAGGAACATATGGTAGATACGATAATAGCACTCGATTTATTTCCTTCCCGAGAACAGGATTGCATAGACATCAATCGCGACCCTGGCCATAGTCTGGCCGATTAACTCTCAGCTTGGAAGCTCCACCTCCTCCAGTCTGATACGTGTCTCCTTGCCTAACCTCTGCTAGCTGTTGGCCGTCGCCGCGTTGTAAAAGTGGATCTATTCGTTAGCAACAGAGAGCATTTCGAGCAGCTTGCCGGCCACGTGCGCCGACATCATCAACGCCGCCGACAACGCCTACGTACCGTCTCGTCTGCACAGCCGGCAGGCGTCTGGTACGCATATGCGCCCGTATTGACAAACAGCTGCTGCCTCGCGCACACGAGCCACGCGGCCAGGTTCTGGCGCTTGACCGTCGGGGCCGTCCACGTCACCGTGTCGCCCTGGAAGGCAAAGGTCCCAAACGTGCTTTTCGTGGTGTTGAAGGACGTCGCCAGCGTCCGTGGCGGGTTGGCCGGGTCGGCGGGCTCTTGGACGTGCATGTACAGCGGGCCGTCGCTGCCGAGGGAGTTGACGAGCTGGCCGTCGACAATGTTGAACTGCCCGGCCGTCGTGTAGCTGTCGAGGATGGCGACGCCGGCGACGTTGGCGGGCTTGGTCTGGAGATACTTGTGGAAGTTGGGGGCCTCAACGGCGCGGATCCAGAGCTGGCCGGCCGTGAGGGTCGTGGGTGTGGCGGCGCGGGGACTGTCCACGTCCGGAGCCGGGGCGGCCAGGGTGGCGGACGCGAGCAGTGCCGTTGCGAGTATGGACAGCATGGTGAATGCCGGGGATTGGGACAGTCGAATTGGTGAGCGTGGAAGGACATAGCCAGGGACGGTGGCTCCCATAGAAGCGAGGGTCTATGCCGGGTCTGGCCTTTTGTATCGGCCAGGCCAGTCTGCCCACCTGTCCATTTTATTTATTTATTCCATTCATTTATATTCGGCACGGGTAAATGGCCAGTGGGTGCGCCTGGCCCTCCTCCGCACCTAGACGGGAAACGGGGCTTGTACCGGGTCGAGGCAATATCGTAGAATGGGATCGCCCTCTCATCGCGGTTTTGTTTGCGTGTTTATTTAATTCTCGCCGTGAAATGAAGCTAGTAGTCCTTACATCTGTCAAGACGGCCTTTGCTAGCGCGTGGCTCATGGTACAGATCTGTCGTTTGTTCTCCCTTTTTGGGGTGTCTCCAACTCGGCGAGACATTCTGTCCAATGCTTTGAGTCCGACTCCGCCAATGGCTGGCCACGGCATGCTGGCGGCTGAGTAGACGACCACAGTTACGCCGAATCTTACATGTCGTTCGGCCGTTGCCGCAAAGTTGCGTATTTTTACAGTTTCCCGTTTTCATAAGTTCACGAGTATTGCATATAGCCAAATTGCCGTCATTCTCCACTATCGCATACTTTTATTGTTTCCGCCTCCCGCCATCGCTGCCCGCCCATCATGTCCGTCAAAGTCGCAGTTTTCTCGGCCAAGCCGTACGACAAGGAGTACCTGTCTGCGACGCTGGCGGACAAGAAGCAGGATGTGGCTTCCAGCCACAGCCAGAACCCGATCGAGCTCGTCTTCCACGACTCTGCGCTCGGTCTGCACACCGTCGCGCTCGCCCGTGGTGCCACGGCCGTCTGTGTGTTTGTCAATGACGTGCTGGACGCCGCCGTCCTCGAGGCGCTGTCGGCCGAGGGCGTCCGCGCCGTGCTGCTGCGCTGCGCCGGCTACAACAACGTGGACCTCGCCGCCGCCGAGACGCTGGGCGTCTTCGTCGCCAACGTCCCCAGCTACTCGCCCGAGGCCGTGGCCGAGTTCAGCGTTGCGCTGCTCCAGACACTGAACCGGCGCACGCACCGCGCCTACAACCGCGTGCGCGAGGGCAATTTCGCGCTCGACGGGCTGCTGGGCATGACGCTGCACGGCAAAACCGTCGGCGTCGTCGGCACGGGGCGCATTGGCCTGGCGGCGGCGCGCATCTTCAAGGGCTACGGCTGCCGCGTCCTCGCCCACGACCCGTACCCGTCGGCCGCCTTTGTCCAGGAGGAGCTCGGCGAATATCGTGCGCTCGACGACCTGCTGCCGCAGTGCGACGTCGTCAGCCTCTACTGCCCGCTGACCAAGGACACGCACCACCTCATCGACGAGCGCACGCTCCCGCGGCTCAAGCCGGGCGCCCTGCTCATTAACACGTCCCGCGGCGGGCTCATCGCCACCAAGGCCGTCATTGCCGCACTCAAGAGCCGCCACCTGGGCGGCGTCGCGCTGGACGTCTACGAGGGCGAGGGCGGCCTCTTCTACAACGACCACTCGGGCGACATCATCGACGACGACGAGCTGATGCGCCTCATGACCTTCCCCAACGTCCTCGTGTGCGGCCACCAGGCCTTCTTCACCGTCGAAGCCTTGACCGAAATTGCCAACGTCACCCTCCAGAACCTCGGCGACTTTCTGCTGAGCCGCCCGTGCCCCAACGCCCTCGTGGCCGCTCACAAACAGGTTGCCCGGCGGGACTCCCTTCCGGTGCGCATCTAATTGTGAAGGTATCGAGGATCAGTGCCACGGGAGGACATTGGGCAATTGTGGGAGATTTCTTGGGGATTTTTGAAGTGTCAGTTGATGGCCGCGTTTGTTGATGTCGAGAAAGGGAGTTTGGCTGGCAAAAAGCTGAAACGAAGCTGACCTCCAGTACTGTACGACGTAGGTGTAAGGATGGGTGGGATCGTATTTCTCCCATCAAGAGGATTCCTCGCCGGATCGGAAGGCTACGCATCTTCACCCTCAAACTGCCATTTTGAAATGGCCATTGATAGTCAATGTTAGACACATGTTCAGGACTTGAGGGCCCAGAAATTTGTATACGAATTCGTGGATGTGTGCTCTCCTGAGGTGGTTTTGTTGTCTTACCATCTGCATCCCACAAAATCAAGACGTACGAACACATTATACATTTAAACTTGACATCTATTTTGTTACTCAGTCCTTCTCTGTCATCGTCAGTGCGTAGTGAGCGTTCCATCTGCCGCGACATTCAAGTCACTCCTGCGAGACACACAGCCACATCGTTAACGAACGGGAATGTCAAAGAACACCATCCGCTCCTGGCCCTCCTGGAAAACCGCGTCCAGCTTGTAATAGCCCTTGCGCTCAAACTGAACAATGTCGCCCTTGGTCAGACTCTTTACGTTGCAGTCGGCAAACGCCTGCTGTCTACGCTCGGTGACATCGGTGAGGCGGTCCCGCAGGTTGTCGTCCTTGTCGAGCTTGTCCTTGGTGATCAAATAGTCAAACGAGACGAGGTCAACCGGGACGAGGTTGTCGGCTGTGTCGGCCAGCCAGGTGATCTTTTTGGTCTTCTTCACATCACCGCCGGGGTTAAAGTCCACGTCGAGCGTCTTGATTGTCTGACCGTCCGTGTCCTTCTCGATGCCCCGAACGATTGCATTGCCCCAGTTCATCAGCGTAATCTCCTCGCCGGCGGCAAAGGACTGTGCGTCGACCTGCTCGAGGAAGATGGTGCGGCTCAGCAGTACAGTCTTGTCACCGAGTTCGGGCTTCTTGATGTACTTGGGACGCACCAAGGGCGTGAGCGCTGCATCGTCGAGGCCCTGGACCGTGCAGCGCACAGCGTCCTTGGCCACAACTGCCGTGTGCCGCGGCGCCACCGGGTCAATGTGCTTCTTGTTGAGCGCCCAAAATACGCCCCACTCGAGGTTTAACACGTTGCGGCTCGGCCCCTGCTTGAGCACGAACTCGCGCAGTGCCGGCACCACCACGCCCCGCCGCAACACGCCGCGCACCGTCGGCATCCGGGGATCGTCCCAGCCCCAGACCTTGTTGTCCGCGACGATCTGAGTCAGCTTGCGCTTCGACAGCACGGTGCGCACAAAGTTCATGCGCGAGAAGTCATAAATGGGAACATGACGCAGTCCGAGGGCGTCTTGGAACCAGGTGTACTGCACGTTGCGGTCACGGTACTCGTTGGTACGCAGGGCCAGCGTGACGCCCTCGAGAGAGTCGAGGATGGGGGCACAAAAGTCGTACGTCGGGTAGACATGCCAGGACGTGCCGGTGCGGTGGTGCGGCGTCTGGTTGCAGCGGTAGATGACAGGGTCGCGTAACGTGCCGTTGGGGCTGTCGTAGGCGATGCGGGCGCGCAGGCACCAGCGGCGGCCCTCGTCCGTCCCGGCCGTCATGGCAGCAAAGCGCGCCAGGGTCTCGTCGATGCTCAGATCACGCCGCTTGGACGGCAACCGATTTTTACGATCCTCGTCGCCCTTGCCGAGCTCCGCGTCGTCAGCAAAGGCCTTGCCGTCACGGATCAGCTGGAGGGCCAGGTCGTGCATGTGCTGGAAGTAGTCGCTCGAATAACTGGTTGTGTCGGCGTGGATGCCCAGCATGGCCAGGTCCTCGACAATCGAGTCCTGGAACTCCATCGACTCCCTGGAAGGGTTCGTGTCGTCGAAACGGCAGATCAGTTTCCCGCCCGGTCGGCTGTGCGCGAAGTAGTCGTTCAACAACGCCGCCTTGGCATGGCCAATATGCAGGTAACCCGACGGCTCGGGCGGGAAGCGCGTCGTGATGGGGCCCGTGAGGTCAGGCAGGTCAATGTCGTAGCTGGCGCCCGCTGCAGAGGCTGCGGCACGCTCCTCGGCACGCTCCTTGGCCGCCGGGGCGGTGAGCTCCTCAATGAGCGGCACCAGCCAGGACGTCGCGGCAGGGACAAAGTTGTACCATCGATACGTATGACCACTCGTCTTACGTATCAGGGATTGGCCCACGGGGTTGGCTCGCAGCGTGGACCATACGGCGAGGTCGGCGAGCGTTAAAGTATGGCCAACGATAAATGTCCGGAGCGTCAAGTGTGACTCAAGTGCGGTCAGATGGCCCTCGACGTCTTTGCGGTTTTTGCTGGCGAATGTAGTGGACTTGGCCACCCACTCTTTAATCTATATAGTGACCAGTTGTTAACATCACCCACCGGTAGGTTAAAAAACCGGTGATAAGGACAGAAAGGGCGAATAAAAAGAGGAATATTTTTAATCGTACTAAAGTGTTCGTCTCACCAGCAGCGGCTACGAGAGTAGGGTAGACATCTTCATTAAAGACCACACTGCCATCGGCAGAAACAAGTCGAACGATAGACCCCCCATCATCCAAGGCCTTGTCGGCGTGGAACGAGCGCACAAGGTCCGGTAGGACGCCTGTAATGTGGAGGTAGTTTGCTAGCACGAGGCTTGGGAGCACAAGCGCCAGTTCGGCTTTAGCGGCGATGTCTAGTCGGGACATGGCGAAGTTGGGAGATGGTTGTTTTGTTTGGAAAGACTGAATTGAACTTTGACTCATTGACGGTGGCGGGGAATTTATTTAACAGCCGTCCGTCCTGTATGATTAAGAAAAAACCGCGTTTGGTCACTTGGTGGGCCCTTTAGTCAGCCTGCATGTGTTTCTGTGTCAAAACCATTTCACGGGTCTGGCCTGTGAATGGGAACATGGCAGTCCTGTTGTCTGGATAAAATCGACAGATTGGCGAGGCCGAATATATAAACAAGCGCAAAAAGGCACAAAACGACAATGGGGAAAAATACCACACACAGCTCAGAACAAAATTTTGAAAACGCGTCATTTTTATCGATTTCTACAGGCTACAGGAGGATGGCGCCCAAATGGCCACAGGTAAACATTGGACCTGAACATATCAACGAGCACGCCGCATACCTACGTGAAGCATGCGACCGACTGCACACTGTCGAGAGAGACAAAATCAATCAAGTACCATGGACTATAGTGCAGTCATACATCTCCTCGGCCATGGCGCTGGCCAGTAAGGTGCTCCAGCAGCCTGCGTGAGCGAAGTCCTCCATTACGTCAAGGACGCCGTCCAAATGCACACAGAACATTCAGAAGGATGTTATGGTTATTAAGAACTCCTTTGGAATCCAGGCAGCTCCAAAGCATACGGCTGAATCTCGCGGAAGCAACGCTCCTGCCGTAACGTGGGCGCAGGTGGCGGCTCGGGGCGCCTCGGGGCGCCTCGGCTGCACTCCCGCCTGTCCTGCCCAGCAGGAGCACCAACAGCGCCCAACCTACTATGAAGTGAAAGTACGAAGAACCAACTCGTCTCTTTTGCCAGAGTAAACCGGGCATAGTTCGGGATATCGTCTAGTTATTGTTTTTCTGTTGCTAATACCTTATTGAGAACTAGGTGTCTCGTTGCGTCTCCTATCGCCATTACAGCGATACAAGTGTAGGAGGCAGGTCCTTGTCCAGATCGTCTAGCAAGTCGTCATAAAATCCCATCTTGCCGCCGTCGAACGCCTCCATGACATACGACAGAGCCTGTGCATTTTCGTCTGCCAAGCAAATCGACAACGTGTGGTCCGTCCCTTCTCGCGCTTCCCACTCCGCAACCATCTGTACATATTCGCGGCGCTCGCGCAACAGCTGTCGCTCGTCCTCGTCGCGTGGCAGGCCGTCGGGGCCGTAGTGACTGGGCCGGCCGAAGCGGCGCGGCATGGCATCGAGGAAGCGCGGGAAGCGGATGAGCTCGACGGGCAGCGTGCAGGCGCCCTCCCAATCGATGACACCAAGAACGGTGTAATCGTCGTCGCCGGCGACGATGATGTTGCTGTGCAAGAAATCGGGGTGGCAAAGAGGAAACGGTCCCGTGTCGCGGCCACGGCTGCTTCGCGCGACGAATTGCGGCACCACAGCGCGAAAGCGATCCAAGAACGTTTCGACAGCGTGCAGGACGTGCTCTGTCTCGGGCGCGCCGCCCATGATGTCCACGATTTCGCTGGGCTGGCGTGGAAACTGCACGTGGTCGGCCCAAGCCAAAAAGAAGTCGGTCGCGGTGTCAAAGGGACCGCCGATTCCCGGGATGGGGCCGGCTTCGAAGGTGCCGTTGGCAGTTTTGCGAATCGTGCCAATTTGGGGAAGTCGCAAGGATGTCATTTGCACCTGTTATATGGTTAACTACGTGTAGCACGGATGGTGGGAAGGTAGATTTTATGCGTTCGACTGACATGGCATAGGGCCACGGAGCGGTAGAAGTGCGGCCGTTGGGCGACGGCGATGACGCCGTGGTGTGTGTCGTAGCCACCGCCAGAATCCATTGCCGTGTTCCCCGGGATAAACGACATAAGCACAAAGGGGACGCCCGTGATGTTGTGCTCGTCGACTTCAAACGCGAATATCTCGGGCGAGGGCAGACGCGACTGTTCATGAATCCAGCGCATCGCGTCGACCTCGTTGCGCAGCTTCTCTGTGGCGGCCGCCGACCTCCGCATGGCAATCCTGGCCACCCACATCGTGCCGTCCGTGAATTGCAGCAGGCGCGCCATGTTGTTGAGGCCGTTGGTGGCGTAGTCCATGGGGACGCAGGGCATGCCGTCGCGCAGGCCCGAGGCCAGCTTGCAGAGCGCGTGCCAGTCCGTCTGTCGCATGGCCATGTCCATGGAAGCATCCGGGTCATACATGACTTTTTTCCAGTTGAGAGAGAGCGCGTCCATAGCGTGTGACGTCGACATGGTGGCTGGAGGAAGTTGTTTTTGGTTGCTTCGAGCGTCCGTTTGGTATGTAACAATCAACGTGTCGTACCGCCCAATTTCTTCCCAAAGCTCAACTTGGGGAGAAAAGCCTACGAAGACAGTAGTCAGAAAAAGTGGGCCCATGCTTTCTTACACCATCCGGCCACTGGCTACTCCCGTAGTGTGTTGGGTAGCGTGCTGGGCGGCGATCAGCCACTAAAACTAGTTCAAACAACTATTGCGGGTAAAATTACGGAAAAGCATTTTTCGGTGTGTTTCTTGATACGTCGTATATCTCCGAAAAAAGAAAGGCGCAAAACAGCACGCAATAACAAGATGGTAATTTGATGATCGGGACTTAAATTTATCAATGTGTACAACAAAAAAGCATACAAATCTCCCTCATAGGCCCAATTACCCGTACTGTTCACCGACCACGGCACTTAATTCTGTGTTCCGCATTTGGTACACTTTGTGCCGCGCTTCACCTGTGCATTGCACGAAAACGCGACACAGGTGGTGTAAAGACTCTTCATGTCTAAATCCGTTAGGGGAGGCAATCTTCGGTGTCACCAAAAGACGGAAACAGGCTATCCTTACTGGTATATTGGAGTACTGGTAAAGTAAATGGTGTACTTGTTCGACAAGAAAGGGTAGTTGTTGAAGTGGTTGACTGTTTGATCGTGAAGGAAGACGAACACGGCAGAGGAGACAGGTTTACTGACAGAGAAAAGGCTCACTTATATACGTAGAAGACTCTCAGAGTTTCTACGAAGGGCAAAGCACGCAAACGGAAAAAAACTACGACATAATGCGGCGCCCGATGTACTCTGTGCCCTCTGCTTCTGTTGTAATGGATGCATCAATGCAGCCCGCCAAGCAGAGACAGAGCAGCGTCCACGGCACAGTGTAACGTGGGTCCACAAAACAAAAGTAGGCATGGCTGTGGCCATAATTAAGAAGAGAAGCGAGCGACATAAGCCCAGTGGTGTGCGACGTGCTTTGAGGGATGGCTCGAAGGTCGACGGGGTCATGCGGTCACTCTCGGTCTCCATAAGCAATATCAAAAGAATATCTCTGGCCAACTGCATAGCACTCTGAACATCCAGCGAATCGAATCTCACATGTAACACAAACCCCCACGCGTTATCCCACGTCTTGACACAAGATTCGTACTTCACCCAATTAGAAGTTAAAGGACCTATACACGTGGATTTGGCAGATATGTCATTGATTGTGCAACAGACTTTGCCTTCCAATTCGCATGTCGTACACGCTGTATGGGGTGTGTGCCTATTCTGCACTACTTCGCCGTGCCGCACTTTCATCCTTTCAAAATGTAACAAAATACTTCATCAAACCGCGGTCCCTCCATGGATCTCAAGTCGCAGTACGACGTAAGTCGTAGTACACACGGACAAAGAAAACATGGAAATATGTGATAGAGGTGGCCACGCAAGCTGAGGAAAACGGTTTGCTCCGTAGAGTAAATAGATAGGCGGAGAATCATACAGCTCTTCCAACCCCCCCTCCTTCTCCCCCAATATTGAAAATAGGATGTCACAGTGGAGACTACTAAGATTACACAATAGAGCAGTCGAATGGAGAATGGTCTTTTCACTTGGACGGAAGAGACAAGTGACCTACTCTGTACTCCAACCTAGTTTTCTTACGCAAACACCTGCTTCTAAACCGTGTGTGACCCGACCGTAAATCCCACGAACGGGCAGAGGGGCTTTTGTTTGACACCAAGGAGCTTTGAAAAGTTATGTTATCTTGCCTTCTGATCTGTCTACAAAGTTCCATTCGCATCAAAACCTAGCCGTGTCCGTTCTATTAGAACGCTGTTCCTTTATTTTATTTTTAATTCTTTTACAAGGTCATAAGTCAAATATGAATCTCCACTGGCGCAGCACCTCTACGAGTCGGAAGCGGGATATCCATCCACAATCTCGATATCTCTACCCGTCAGTCCTCATAAAACACGAGTACCCGCACTTCAATGCTCTCCCGCGGCGGGTCCTCGTCGTACTCCTTGTCACGAAACGCCGAGTGCGGCACCCGCCGGGCCACGGATCCGTCGTCGACCGAGTCGAAGCACTTGATGAGCATGACCTCGTCGGGCGACTGCCGGTGCTTGTAGTACCAACGATGGTCCTGCGACGCGGTGACGGTCCACGTGTGCTGCGTGTGGTCGGGGTAGAAGACGCTGGCCTGGACGAGGTCGGCGTCGGCGATGGACCGGGCGTCGGCGACGGCGAGCGGGTCCTTTGTGACGGTATGGAAAGGGCGCCAGACCTGATTCCAAGACGAGTGGGGAGTGAGGAGTGAGCGATGCGAGCGAGAAGGTGCGATAGCTGTAAGCGTAGACGCGAGGGAGGAAGCACAACACGAGCAACGAGCTTACGTTGATGATTTGCCAGCGACGCTGAGCAAGGTGGTCGGCCTCGTCGGGCAGGGTCCACCGGAGAAGAAACGCGGCCCCATCGTAGGACTGGTCGACGTGGACGCGGTGCAGCGGCCCGCGCTGGCTGGCATTGCCGGGCCCGCGTGCGTGCCAGTCGGCGGGGCCGCGGCGGATCTTGTGGTCAAAGATGACGACGCGGGCGGCCCCCGTCGCCGCGCGGAGGATGTCTACGGTGTCTGGGAAGTAGACGCGTTTGATGAGGTCGAGGCTCTGGAAATTGTCGGCGATGCACTCTCTGGCCGCGGCGGTTGGTTTGGTCAGCAGCTGGAAGCCGCAGCTGTTGAGAGTAAAGTCGCCTTCGCGACCCGTGATGTCATGCGCGGTCACGGGCGCCACGGTCATGGGCCGTTCGTTGGTGACGGTGCCCTTGCCGACGTAGACGGGCGTGGGCTCCGAGCCGTCGCGAGGGTCGTCATAGTAGTTGAGGGTTGTTTCGACGTCGCGGGCCATACTGTCGGCTGGAGGGGAGTGTTGGGTGGTGCAACAGAATGGGTAAACAATGAGATCAACAGAGAGACAGAACTGCTGTGAGACTCAAAAGGCGACGTGTTTGCACCAACAGACTAGCTATTCGTGTTCACCGGCGAGTGGAAGCGATTGCGAGAAAAGAGACGAGCATTTGCTATGCCGCCCGGCACGACTACCCCGCGGTAATAGCACGGCATTCCAGCATATTCAGTTCCAAGAAAGGTATATTACGCAAAGGTGTGACGATAATACGCAGTTAGTAAAAACCAAGCCAATTTCCCATTTATCCTGAGACGTTTGCAAAAGACTTCCATTGGCGGCGATAAGATAACCCGCATCGTCAAAATACCACGAAAGGAAAACAACACAACGAACAGCGGTATCAAAATTTCAAGAATAATACATTAAAAGTATACGCATCTTCATGTTCATCTCGTAACTTATCCGCCCTTGAAATTGGTGTCACGTGGAATTCACACGGTTTACCAAGACGCGTCATGTGGCCGGATTTTTCACGCGTCTTCTAACACGCCTTTATTACGATGCAGCCGTAATACGCAGATACGTCTCTCGACCAAGCTTTCTGCGACAATGGTGCGCCTGTCACTCAACATCCCCCACCGCGATGCCACAATGGTGCTCTCTTCGTTTTCCGTCTACTGGGTGCCTCCCTTATCCACTCGCCTCCGCCTCGGCCGCACATACTTCAAGAGCCTCGCGCCCAATGTCGTCCGGGTCAGCAGGCATCGCATCATCAAAGGCCCTTACTACCTATGCGAGCTGGAGGCACTCCTGCACGTGCGGAGGCACACGACGATACTCGTACCCAAAAGTGTACCGCGTATACCACGCGTCCAGCGGGCGAATCTACATTAAGATGGAGCTTGTGGAGGGCGTCAGCCTGGCCGGGCTATGGTTCAAGACGGGCCTAGTAGACGACGTCAAAACGACGGTCATGGCCGACCTACACGGCACGGTTGCTCAGATCCGCAGCCTCCCTCCGCCAGCACAACAGTCCATTGTGGCATCGGCATCGGCATCTACAAAGGAGGGCTTGTCGGATGGCCGCATCGGACCGGAGACCGCTGGGCCCTTTGCAAGCCACGACGCATTTCACACGTTTCTACGCGGTGGTATTCCTAGTTGTCCATCCTCGGTAAAGGAGAAACGAATGAATTGTGATGAATGAGTCGAAAAAAGTAAGGTGGAACTCAGGCCACGTTAAGGTTAAGACTATGGATCCTGGGTCACATTTCACAGTCCATCCATCCTAACCTTTCCATTCCCGGCCTGTCTTTGAATCATCACGTCCCCACTCCCTCTCTTACACTAAAGGCTTAACCCGCCGGCGAGCGTGATGACTGAATTATTGAGCCGAGGACTGTTTTAGCCCAGAACTGTGCAGGGCAAAGATGCGCAAACTCTTCTACATCTGCGGCTTTTGCCCGTCGTAGAAGTTCCTTCTTTACCTCCATCGCTATTTGGAATTCCCATTCAGCCCATAACGTTTTAAACGATTAAGTCTGGCGTCCTTATCCTCAGCGTTGTCCTTGACGGATCTGGCGGAATCCCTGGCGTCTCTGACAATAGCGAGTCGTTTGTCTGCTTCGAATAGTTTTGCAGATAAGTTTCTGTGGTGATGTGACAGAAGGGTACACCATTGCTCGGCGGTCATAATACATCAGCTAAATCGGCTTAAGCTGCAACGCAATTGGTCGCGTCTACACCTTGTGATGTAATCAACCGCTAACAAGTCTCCGATCGCCAGTGAGGCCGGTGTACAGAGGGATGGAGAACTGTCGCATGTATTCAAGGATATCCATACGGGTCCGTGTATGGCTGGCTAGTTGTCGTGGCCGGTGACGTGTTGCCGGTCCGTCTTCGGTCCAATGATAGTTGACCTCACTTTGGTGCGGTAGGACACGACGACGTTTAGATTGGTTGTTGTGATTGGGAGGGATAGGTAGGTTGTAGAACTCTTCAAAGCTTTTGCGGACCGTATGGAAGACAATTTTGTCGTTGATGATGTTGGCGGTGTTTGCCGTGGTCGATATTGTGAAGACTGTGAGGGAGGAGTGTGGGTGACGCGTTGTGCACAGGAGAGCACAGGAGGAGCACGCCCGCTACGCAGGTTGGCGTAGGGACGGCACAGTGCACCTCCCAAAAAGGTAACTGTCATTGTTGTTATTCGCCTTTCATATTCTGTACTTAGCTGTATCACTGTAATGGCGGTAGGAGAGGCAACAGGACACCGAGACTAACGTTCATTGGCGGGACTTCTTACCAGTCTTAGCAACACAGAGATAATAACGAGACGACGTCCCTGCCTAGTCTCTGTTTACTCTGGCAAGAGAGGCAGGTTGGTTCTTCGTACTTTCTCTGCATAGTGACCACTGTTGCTGCAGAATACCAATATATGCACAGGTCCTGGCAACGCCTTCTCTGCATCTATGTGTATCGCAGTGTCTTCTTTTCCCTTTACCCTTTAACGAGCGTCAGTCGCCGATCGATAGCGGCAGAGAAGACAGTCCTTGAAAGTGACTGAAAACGTTCGCCACCAACGCAGCTGATTCTGTACGTACGTTGAATGCTCCTGACACCTTTGCTCCTTCCGTACTGTTGTTCCTTCCCTGTATCGTACTCATCGTGCTTTCCTGCTGGTCAAATCTTGCTGATGTGCAGTTGCTGACTTGACGGCTGCACCTTCCTAGCTACGGCCGTTTCCCCACCAGAAACGACGAACCAAAATAAACAAACCGATAAAGGAGAACAGGTCTGTTCTATTCCTCTCTCGTGTTTCCCTTCCATCTTCAACTTTTTATCTACACGCATCATCAACAACGCACCACAACCCAACCAACGACTCGCCCAACAATACATTATCCATCTTGCTACTTCTATCCATAAAGACATCACTACTTACATCCATTACTTTATTTATCCATCGCCTCAACTATCCATCAACTCCTCATCTTTATTTCTTCAAATTATCTTTACCTTTACATGGCTATGTCGAAACTCCAAGAAATCCCAATTACAATACTATCAGCCACCACAAGGTAAGAGTTGTCACCCCACCAAGAGGTCAGGCTGTGCTGGTGTCTAACCATTCAGTACTTACATCGTGGCGACGGTGCTTGATGCCTGCCTTTACGGGCACCGGCAGTTTTCTTCGGGGCCTAGATTGCCCTCCGGAATCGGCGGCAGTCGGAGTATGCGGGGGTGGTTGCCTCGCTAAAGCGAGGCGAAACGCTCCCAACCGCTTATGTCAAAGCTCGACTGGCTGACCAAAACCGGCGGCGGCTTTCTCGCGTCATACGTTGCGTGATGGGGCCCGAACAGTGGCAAGAGCTGTTGGAGCACCACCACCACAATCTCTCTCTGTCTTTGTTACGCGCGAAGAGGGAATTGGCCCAATATACGGCGACCGTGACCACATTGAAAAAACAGAAAGTCACTGGCGATGTTCTTAACTGGGCTACGTGGGAAAGGCAAATTGCCAAGGACTGGCATGCCTGTTTTCAAGGACGTCGCCACGTGGAGTTACGGGCAAACATGGACGCACTTGATCGCGGCGAGCTGCTCCCTGTCGACTACATCGTAGGGTGTCGCCGCGATCAAGCTCGCTGTCCCTTCAGCCGGTTTCTTCGGTGCGTTATGACAGCGCAGCAGTGGTCCAGCCTCATATCTGCCCATCACAGGAACCTTTCCACAAAGTTGCTACAGGCAGATAAGAGACTGGAATTGGCCAAAGCGGCAAAAAACACGTTTAGCAAAGCCGGAAACGGTGCCAATGCGGAAACCTCAAAAGACAATAAGTCACCAATCCGCATCGCATGGGCCGATTGGGAGGTTCTGATTGCGACAGACACGAAAAACGAACTGCTACGGCGTTTGAAGTCTGTTGATGCCGACCACTTCGGCGGTCTTTATCCAAAAGAAGTCTGGGCTGAAGTCAAGAGAATGGAACGGGTGTGAAGTTGGGACGGTAAGAATACTTATAGACTAGTATAGAGTTTTGGTGTTTTTTTTTGGGTGGTATTTTTTTCGTACTAGTTTTTTTTTTTTTTTTTGGACGGGTTATCAGGTTTTTTGGCTTATTTTTTATTTTGAAGTTATTGTTTTGAATTAGAGTCAACAAAGTGTTTTTATGGGCGTGAATATCGCAGCCTTTTTCAAACCTTCCAATTAAAGTATTATCACGCGATAAAGCGACCTGTTCAGAATTTTATTCTCTATCTAGTCCGACACATGCTTCCAATGAGCGACAAAACAAAAATATGATACAAAAAAAGAATTTTCAGACTTAAACTGCAACGGATGCTAAGGACATCACACTGCATGACTCTTAAAATCTCAAAAATAATGAAAAAAAGAAAATCCAATTTGCGTCGGCCGGGAATCGAACCCGGGGCCTGTCGAGTCTGCGTCGGATCATGTTACCCGACATGGCAACGACAGATTTTACCACTAAACCACCGACGCTGGTGGTGTTCCCTGTTCGTTGAAATGTTTAGCGCTAACGTGGTACATCAACTTCAACATTACAACACGCTACTTTGACCGAGTAGCGGACCACGTTTTCGGCACCACCACTCAACCACCGACGCTGTCAAAAGAGCTGCTTTCTGATTACACTTTGCTTAGGCTCGGGTAGCAATCATTGCTCTCCAGCGGACGGAGCGTCCCACCAGCGGCACCAACACGTACGGAGCGTAAGTATCGTGGCCGGCGGTTGAAAGTCGGCGGACATCTGAAGAATGAAACCCGCAAGCAGTAAACTATGAGAGGTCTGCTGCCGCCGGGATGTCGGCCGGGTAACTTTTATTGCATCACCATTTCGTCCATGTTTTACTAATCCGGCACCACTAGAACTGCCTCCGCCTTTACATGCCGCGATCGTTTGTTGTTGTTACCTCGTAACATCTAGCATATTATTGACAGAAAAAAAATACCAGACCCCTCGTATCGAGGCTAGGAAGAATTATACACTACTATATGGAAGGCTTTAGTTAAAGCAGAATGACAAAAAAAAACAGGGAGGTGTTGCTTGGACGAGTCGTAGTCCCTCCAACAATCCTCAGCAGATGCAAGTAGAAGGAGCATCGTGGTCCCTTGTATGATCGCAGGTTCCTGGTTGTAAAATAGACGAGGTGAGAGCAGTTTGCTGCCGGCCATTCTTGCCTCCTGTCTTCTTGAAGGACTTTGGAACAGAAGGTATGGCAGGTCTGTCGTAATATGGTTCGTAGTTCCTTCCACCATCGTGTACTCGCCAACTGTACGTGGAAGGAACTGAATGGCGTATTTATTGTTTTGATCGTAACTTCCCGTCTTAATGTTGACAGATGTAAAGACGAGCTGATTTCTATCATTGTAGCAAGAAATACACTCCAGTCTCTTTTCTTTATCCTCTCTTATTGTCCTCTTCTCTCTCCTCTGTTCTCTGTCTCTTGGTTGCTATTATGACTTGTCAGCCCTTTTCCCTTGTTAATCCATCTCGACTACCAGCGATCATTCGACACCACTGATTCCAACGACGGCTCTATATACGGCGTCGAATCGTGACAGTATTAAAAATAAGCAGCTTTTCAAGACACGGTTCAAGCACCAAGGCTACCAACCGAGCAACTCCGAAACAGACCACTGGGCCTGTTCGAATTAGTTCTATTCGCGTTTTCCTTTTTGCTTCAGGTCTCTGCTGGCACGTAAAAGTGGCAGCTCATCATTAGCAATAATAGCCCCCGGTCCTAGGGATCCCGATGAATCAAAAGGTGCGTCCCCCGATGACATGTCAATCTAAACCCATCTGAGCAAATGCAATGAAGACAACGGTTATAGTATTGGAGGGAGACGCACCGGCTTTGCTGACAAGGTCTTGACTCTTGGTATTTATATTGTTTTCGAATTCCCATTCGCCACCAACACGGGCTAGTTGTACAGCATTGTTGCTGTGGTATTGTTGTGTACGGACTTTACAGCAACTGTGAATCAGCCGCCACGACCGACACCAATGGCCGCGAAATGGTGACAATTGGTCAGCGACGAAGCAGGTGTTGGTGGGCAATTGTAAGTGACCGCGCGATACGTAGTCGTGGCGCGCTCGACAAACTAAACTCACACCTTTAGGAGCCAATCCAAAGTCAAAATCTATTGAAGTTTATTGAACCATTATTCTAGATTTATGGTACAGTCGCTAAAGATGTCCAGTCGGACACAAACCCGCCGCTTGATTCATACCTAAACAAACGCACTACACCTTCGTTCAGCCACATAGACTCCAAACACTCCCTATAGTCTCGGAGAGTGCTGTCCATAGGCTCGTCATCCAAAGTAGTACCATTGGCTCATTTTGAACACGCAACTGCTGAATGTGAGCAAGGTCTGTTTGTGGACGGTCCCAAGGGCATGAATTCTCGCCTCGGTGGTAGAACTTGCAGACAGCGCCGGGCTGATGTCGAACATTGTCATGGCCGTTTGCCCTGGGGTGGGAATACAGGCTGGGATTATGGGTCCGATACCAAAAGAGGCTGCTGTGCATGAGCCATTCATCGGCATCTCTGTAATTGCACTCGGTGCCAAAGTCCTGCCAAACATCCACATAGAGTGTCGTATTGTTGTCGCAGACCCTGACCTTGTAGTCGGTCAAGCACTGCGCGCAGGCGCCCTTTTCCTCGTCGAAGATTGTGTGGTACTGCACGAATGGCTCAATCCGCAGTAGTCCCTGGTCTGTCGTATATAGAGCGTAGTGAGCGCGTCGGTAGTAGTTCTTTCTGTTCGTCTTCAGATTGCGAGGATCATTTCGGTATCCAGAGTGCGGGGGGACAGGACCGGCCGAGAACAAGTGCTGGCTCATGATGGTCAAGTGCGGACAGATGTTGAAAATGGTTCCGTCCCACTGCATGCAATTGACGGTCGAGAAATGGCGCACAATCTTTATTCTGGAGCGCTGTACGAAGCGTAATTGTGGCAGATTGGTGAACGGCCGGGCAGCCGTGTGGTCTTCTTTGATGCGGCGGTCGAACCGCATACGGAGCGCGTAGTCACAGTCACCAATGCCGCGCGACATGGTCTTGAAAATGGGATCCATGATGCGGTGGAGCACGCGGACGGGCGACAGAGTAGCGTCCTGGTGTACAAGGCGGATGTTGTCTGGTACTGCCCGTCTCATCGGCAGAGTGTCCGGGGCGCCGGCTTTGATGAGGCGCTGGTAGCGGAGGGCAATTTGAATGTGATGAAAGACCAAGCCGGCCGCACCCACGGTCGAGAAGTGGCCGGCGACAGCTGGTGTATGGCAGTGAGCCCTGTGGCATGCCCGTCGCCAGGTGATGTGAACGGGGCATCCGGGAAGGTCCATTTCAAAGACAGTGTGCAGCCGGGTGCATGCGTGGCATACCCAATGTGTGTAATAGTCGCGCGCCACCAGCATGTGGTATTTTTCCAGTCTGGATGGAACGATGTCCAAGGCGAGACTAAGGATCTGGTCGGGCCTCTGTATCATAAGATGGCGGAGATCCTTACATGTGAGTGATAGCAGGATGATGTCTTGGCCTCGAAGGAACTCTTTGAGGGTAAAGAAGACATCGACTGGAAGGTCGAGGATGTGGTTGACGGGCGGCCGCATGGGACGGTAGATGGCGGTGGATGTGTCAACCTCGGGTTCGCTCTCTCGTGATTCGTTTTGATTCTGCATCTCCGCTGTGTTCTCCGGTCTACGGAGATCAGTAGATTCCGAAGACATGGTCTGGGCTCTGATTTTGGTATTTTGGCTCAAAAGAGCTGTCGAAGGACGTGTTGCTGTGTGTGCTTCGATGGACGTAGTTGTGTGAATCGAGGGTTAACAAAATAGTCGGGGAGAATTGCTCCTCAACTGGAGAACAGCGCTGCGTGGGGGATAACTCTGAAAAGTTGGGTTCAGTCCGTTGGAAAGCTTCTCACGCGTCTTACCTCAGCCGTCGTCTTGTCGGCTCAACGGGCAGCAGCGTATCAGTAAAGATGGATGCATGACTGAGCCTATGGTGCTCGTCTGTGTTGGAAGACGGTGCCGACCGCTGCAGGCATATTGTAAGAGATCAGTCATCATGAAATATCGACGATGGTGCAAAATAGGTATGACTCCACAGGAGGGGTTGATGGCGGTGTCGGTCAGGAACAGTTGATAATGAAAGGGAGCTGAGTAGCAGTAAAGGTGATGGATATTGGAAGCGAAAGAAACGATCACGAAAAGGGGGTGAAATATTTTCCAACTCCGATCGTGTACTTGGCCTCCAGTTCAGGCAAGAACGAAGAAGGCGAAAGTCACGCTCATGGGTGCACAAGTGGAAAGAGCGTCGAAACTAGAAAGAACAACCAAAGCACGTGGCAAGAACTGGCGAGGTCATTTTGATATTTGGTAGACTGGAAGGAGCGACCCGTCCTACATATGGCATGATACAGATGACTTATCTTTATTTGACGTCTGTCAGCTGACATTGTCTACCTCAGCCTCGTCTCGATGTGTGTCATCACCCTTGGAAGCATTGAGCCTTGCTCATCGCCTTGTCATTAAGTTCGACTTATAAAAAAAAAACAAAAAAGGGGGGAAAGGGAAAAGGGGGGAAAAGGGGGGAAAGGGAAAATCAATTATACAAAGGCAAATAAATAAAGACACCCATATACAATGATCTCTTCATCTCCCTCTCACGATTATACACGCTTGCCAGCATATCTCCCTTCTTGAGCGTGCACTTTGACGTTGATAACACCGAGTCCACCGACACGTCAGACGTACTTTATGATGATGCTCTTCTGGTGGGGCGGCTCGTCCGACATCTCACTGAGCTTCTCGCTGAGCTACTTGCTGAGATACACGCTGCCGACCATGATCCTCAACCTCGGCTACACGGCCGTCAAGGCCCAGGCGCCCATTGTCGGCGCGTGGACGGTCGTCTGGGAGATGTAGTTTGAGACACAGCAGTTATTTTTGTCATTTTGTCAGTTGGTACTCTAAATCAGTTCTCTACTCCAGGTAGTCCAAGACACTCTCATGCTCGTTGTGCCGTGCCATGCCAATGTTGTCTTTGTCTTCGTTGCTTTGTGATCGGATCGGGGCGGTCGTGTGACAATCGTCGTCGCTTGCTGGCGGTGCTTGGTTCGTAATTACGCCAGGCTTCTCTGCATGACGTTGCATCTAAGGCATAGGGCTGGACTGTCCCCCCTAGTTCCACATTTCCACGCTAAAAGCTGCCGCCCTACGACACACAGCGCGGCCAGACCGCAAATCGATTTATGCTGACGCCAGCAAGCAACCATCGACAACAAGGTCATACGCGGCGCAAAGAGGATCCGCCGGGCGTCGGCAAGGGACAGAAAAGGTGAATCCGGACCCTCATGCCACTGTCTGGATCTGATTTAAATTAGGCGTTCCCTTCCAGGTTCTCGTGGCTCATCATACACGACCATTCAGCACTTGCAGTAGCCCAACGCCAAGCGCTATACTACAGGCCTTACAGGTATTATCACAGCGCATCGCCAGCTTCACACCTCGCACCCACGCATCTGAAATCAGCCAGCTACGCTACAGCCACAATGCACTTGATCCTGACGGGCGCCACGGGCCTCGTGGGCGGCGCCGTCCTCGATGCCATGCTGGGCATGCCCGAGATCACGCGCATCTCCATCCTATCGCGTCGCCCGGTGCCGCAGCTCGACGCCCGCGTCCAGGCCAACGACCCCGTCGCCAGCAAGGACCGCGTGCGCGTGATCCTGCACAAGGACTTTCACACGTACGACGACGCGCTGCTGCAAAACGACTTGAAGGGGGCGGCCGGCGTCGTCTGGGCCCTCGGCATCTCCCAGCTCAGCGTCAGCAAAGACGAGTATGTCGTCATCACAAAGGACTACCCGCTGGCGGCGGCCGCGGCGTTCCAGAAGATTCCGCCCGGCGACGGGCAGGGCGACGCCAAGGCCGGCGACCCGTTCCGGTTTGTGTACGTGTCTGGCGAGGGCGCCCAGACCAAGCCCGGGCGGACGACCGCGCGGTTCGGCGTCGTCAAGGGCCAGACCGAGCTGGCGCTCGCCAGCATCACCAACGGAACGGCCGGCGACGCCGCCACGGCGCCCGCCGGCCGTCCCTTCTTGGCGCTGTCCGTACGCCCCGGCGGTGTCGACCTGCACGGCCACGCCGCCCTGGAGCCGTTTGCGCCCAAGCCGCCCTCGCTGGCCTACCAAATCATGGGCGCCGCACTGTTGCCCGTCCTGCGCGCCGTCTACCCGGGCGGGCTGAGCCCGACGCTGCCGCTCGGCACGTTCTTGGCGGAGACGGCCATGGGCAAGTACTCGATTGCCGCGCTGGCCGCTGAGGCCGCCAAGCGCAAGGACGTTGAGGCCGTCGGCAGCCGGTTCCACATTGTGAACAACTCGGCCTTTCGGCGGTTGATGGGATTGTGATTGGGAGTGGGTGTCTTTTGTTTACGTCGGGAAATGCCTGGATATCTATGTCAGGTTATGTATTGCATTGTCAAATGATCTTCTATGAAATCGCACATCGGTGAAGACTCGGCATCCAACTGTCCCGTGTCCAAAATGCTCGTCGTACAAGAAAAAAGTAAATGGCCACGCAAAACAAATCACACGCTCATGCACCGTGCGTCCAAATCATCTCCTTTTTCACCTGGACGTTTGTCCCTCAACGGCTCTCCCCGACTCCAACTCGCTGTCACCCACTTTCATCGACTTGTTGTCGGGACGCGGAACGGGCTGTTGGCAATGCCGGCGCTTTTCGTTTCTGACTGTGTTTCACGTTCGCCGCATTCGCGCCCGTGGCGGCGGCCTTCCGTGCCGCGCGAACAGCGTCGCGACGCTGTTTCCAGTGGGACGTGAGGTCGCGCTTGAGTTTGTACGAGTGGTCCTTGGCATAGTCTTGCTGGTTGCGCACCCAGCGTCGGCCCTTTTTGAAGTCGTCGAGCGATTGGATCAGGGTGGCCGAACCGAGCAGATATTGGTGGTACGCGAGGGATGTGTCGTTGTCGTCGTTGTCGTCGTTGTCGTCGCTGTCACCGTTGTCGTCGCTGTCGCCGCTGTCGTTACCATTGGTTTCACCATCACCATCACCGTCGCCATCACCGTCCGCCTCTGTCCTCTCCGCAGCGTAGTGAGCGTAGAAAAAAATCTGCCTGCCGTCCGTCGTAAACGTCGTGATGGCGGCGTCGCCTGGCGGGTCGTGCTGGCCCATGGCGGCGTGTGCCTGGTTGCGGGCATAGACAAGCGCGGCGCCGTCGTAGGCGCTCTGCAGGCGCGCCCGCTCCATGTCCTTGCCGGCGCCCTTCCACTCGCCGGCCAGGTGCGCCAGCGTGACGGAGCGGGGGCTGTCCTTGTAGAGAACGGCACCTGGGACCTCCGTGTGGACGGGAAACGGCCGGAACGCGGCGGCGTCGAGGCCCTCGACAAAATCTGGCTGCGGCGGGGAGAGCTCGTTGTTGAAGCCGACGCCTTTGGGAAACGCGGTAAAGGCGTGGTTCAGGACGCGCGGGTAGTCCTTAATTTCATGGTCTTTGAGCAGCCGGCTGCCGACTTCAAAGACCATGGTGGCCTCGTTGGCGGCAGCATTAACCTTGTTGACGTAGGTCTCATAGACAGACGCCGGGGGCGACGCAGACTTGCGCGGCGCGTCGAACTTTGCCCGAAGATCCTCAAGGTTGGCTGGCGGACGCGAGTCGAGCGGGTCCAAAATGCCATTGCCGTAGGCCTGCAAAGCAAAGCCAGATGACGTTGTAGAAGTGGTGGTAGTGGTGGTAGTAGGAGTGGCCTTTGAGCTCGTCTTCTCCCGCTCTATGGACGGCGTGCCGGTCGATGTCGAGGGCGTTTTTTCGGATGCTTTGAAGGCTTTGGAGCCATGAGCCTTTGACTGCTGCTTCTTGGTCATCGTCTCATGCCGTACCAGGTTCTTGCGTGTCAACGGCACTCGTTTTGGCGTCTGCTTTGTCTTTGGGGCTCGTGGAAGACGCTGGCTCTGGCTGCTGTTGTTGCCGTGGGCAGCGCCCTTCTGTCGTTTGCTTGGCTCGCTTGGCTGCTGTGCGTCCGGTGCCGGTGTCGTTCTTGCCCCAGCGATCAGTCCTGACCGAAGACGCGTGCTGCGCCGTATAGGTTGAGTATCTCTTGGGGAAGGTCGTGTATCGACGAGTCTCTTCCTCTTCGCGGGCTGCTCTGTTGCGCCTTCAATGGCTTCTTCCAAGGACTGGCGTCGCTTGTTCGGTCTGGCTACCGAGCTGGGTACGGCCGTTGCTGATGAAGCACCTATGGCTGTAGCATCCTGTTGCAGCAGCGCGTCTTGCTTTTGAGCTGTCGTCGACAGCAGACCAGGACGAGGAGAGCGTCCTTTGTACTTGGACATGCGCCTGGCCATTGCTGCAGCAGGCAAGTGGGCATTTTCAAGTACCCCTGTGATGCTAGAAGAGACGCCTCCTGGTCGGGGTTTGCGAGGATATGCCTCGCAGGCTGGGTGTCGTGGCGTGTTCAGCTGCAGTCGGAGAAGGTCGATGTGCAGCTTTGCATTGTTTTGCGTGGAGCGAACTTGCACTTCTGTTGGCGCTAGCCACGACTGAGCTTCAGGGACGTCCGGGCGGCTAAAATGATTGGGCCTGGTTCGCTCAACAGGTATGCCCCACCCACAACGCGCCAGCTAAGGCGCTGTCTCTAACGGCCCGCCATGCAGCCCCAAATCCAATATCAAGATGCCAAATGTTGGACATTGTGCTAGGACTCCTGACTTGGTCTCTTTTCTGGGTTGATTTATTTTTAATTTATTTGAAAAATATCCCTTGGCACAAGGCAAAGGAAGTCCTACTACTGAACAAAAGATGCTGACGTTACGGACTCTTTGGGTCTTTTGAGAGCGACGAATATACCCTTTGAGTTAGTAGCGACATTGTTTGAACTTGGCAACGAATGAAAGAACAATACTTGATTTCAAAACATAATATGACAAAAGTACATTGGTAGATAGAGGGAAAGTGAAGCCATGTGATGCTAGGACACGTCAACAGCTCGTTTAGAAAACTGTGGTAGCACTGGACATGGCACTTTATGCTGGCATGAATTTGATACATGGCATGACAATCCAAGATTGTATTGAATCCAAAAGAAAGCTACTAACAACAAAAAAGAAGAAAAGAAAACGCGCACGCAATGTATGCACCGCCATCCATAAGTCGTATCCAAATAGTATCCAAATAGTATCCAAATAGTATCCAAATAGCAAACCGGCTGATCAATTTGTGTCGTCCTGTCGGAGCCCCCTCTCCCCTCTCCTTGGGGTCCTCAAACACCGCCGGCCGGCTGGTAGTAGTCGACAAACCGGTCCGTGTCGGCCCACTCCCAGTCGATGCCCAGCGCCCAGCACCCAATCAGCAGGTTCGGGAAGCGCATGGTCCAGAAGGCCAGGTAGCCCTCGGGCAGCGCGCCGACCATGCGGCGCAGCGGCTCCGACATGTCCTCGTAGTGGTTGCGCTTGTTGCGGAGGGCGCGCAGCAGGTCCAGGAGGCGGTCGCCGCGGTACTTGCGCTGCTTGCCGAGGGAGTCGACAAAGTCCTTGGGCAGGCGCTTCAAAAAGTCGCCGCGGCAGACGTCCGGGGCCAGCGCCTCGAGGCTCGCGAGCGCCTCGGAGGGCGGGTCGCGCGGCTCCTTTTCAAAATGGTCGGAGACGTCGCACAAAAAGGCGAGACGCTTCTTGGGCGACCAGAAGAAGGGGTGCGCCATGACGGCACGCGTGCGCGGGCGGTGCTGCGGCGAGCGGCTAATCATGTGCTCGACCAAATCCTTTGCTTCAAAGGCAAAGTCGCCCAGCACGTCCAGGCCGTCCAGGTTGTACGTGTCCTTGCGGATGTTGACTTCGCGCATGTAGCGGTCGCCGCAGTCGAACGGGTGCGATCCCTTGGTGAGGACATAGTAGAACACAAGGCCCAGGCTGAAAATGTCAATGGCCTTGGTCGCCCGCCGGCTGACGGTGCCGTCCGGGTTGTGGATGAGCCCGCTGCCGGACGTGGCACTGACACCGCTCTGCGTCGACATGGCCGACTCGACCATGGTCTGCCCATTGTCGCGTGCGTCGTCGTCCAGCAACAGCTCGGGCGCGCGCCAGCCACTCGTGCCCGCCGCGTGCGCCGTCGTGGCACCAAAGGAGCTCGCGCCGCCTTCGAGCTTTTTGCACAGGCCGAAATCGGAGATGAGCATGCGCGGCTTGCCGTCCGCACCCATGTTGACGAGGATGTTTTGCGGCTTGAGGTCGCGGTGCACGATGCTGCGGGCGTGCAAATGGTTGAGACCGCTCGTAATCTGGTACAGCACGTTGGGCAGGTCGCGCTCGCCGGCCTGGGCGAGCTCGCGGAACTGGCCGGGCTTCTCGACGACGTCGCCAAGCGAGGCCTGGCACAGCTCCAGCGCAATGTAGTGGAAGTTGGCGCGCTGCTGCTGGGCATAGTAGCGGATGACGTTGGGGTGGTCGTCGCTCTCGCGGAGCAGCTTGGTTTCTTGGGAGGCGATGTCGTAGAACTGGATGAGCATGCGCTTCACAGCGACCTCGCGGCCGTCAAACTTGCCGGCAAACACGACGGTGCCGTTGCTGCCCGTGCCCAGCTGGACGTTCTGATTGACCTCGAGGCTGCCCATGCGCATGATGGGCGTGGACACTTCTTCCATGTCGTTGATGCCCGCGTTGGCATTGGACACCGTCAGAATATCGGGCTCCAGCGGCAGCGTGCGCTCGCCGAGTCTCTTGGCCTGGCCGACGACCTCGTCGACTGTCGGCGGCGGGGCGTCGTCCCCGCGCGAAAGCGAGGCCTCGCTCTTGGCTTTACCGTTGCCGCCCTTGCGGTGCTTGGCGCCGCCACGGCGACCGCGATGGGCCTTTTTCTTCTCCTTCTCCGGCTCCGCGGGCGCGCCGTCCAATTGTGGTGGCGGCGTGCCGTCCGAGGGAGACGCTGCCGCAGCGGTGGAATCATCTACGGGTGATGCCAATGGCGATGCGGCGGACGTCTCGGCAGTCGGAAGGGAAGCAGATGCGCGCACATCCTCCAGTGAGCTGGCCATGGAGTCGGGCGACTCTTTTTCTGCGCCGGGGAACGACGAAGGCGAGGACTCGGTCGTGTCCGTCGCACTGTCGGTTTCCACTGCCTTGGCGACACCGTCAGGTACAACCTCGGCCCTGGTCGCCTCGTGTGTCTTTTCACTTGTGTCGGTCTCCACAATCTCCATGGAAGACTCGTCCTCGACCTCTGCGCGCGCTGTCTGTCCCGCCTTCCACCACTGCAACTTTTGCCGGTTGTACCAGCGGCGCAGGTCTTTGTGGTAAACGAAAAAGAAGACGGTCACCGCGATCAAAAAGACCGGGTTGCTAAAGAAGTCCAAGACACGGTTCGCAGCCACCTGAGGAAGCTCTTTGACCTTGGCGATGACCGACTCAGCTGCCTGGTCGCCGAAAGACGAGGATTCGGACGAGCCGGGTAGGGTCAGGGGCACTGTGGATTCGTTTTCGCGCTCGCGCTCGCGCTCGCGCTCCTTGTCTTCGTCGTGAGAAAACGAGCCGTCGCTGCCAGGCAGCGTCGGGTAATTGGGTGCCAGGAGGGGTCGCTTCTTGCGGCTGCTCGAAGCAAGCATGTGCTTGCCGGTGAGGGCGGCGCTGTACTCGGCGGGCAAGAAGGTGTCCTGGTGGCGGACCCACCAGCCACGGCGGGTGCACTCGGCGGGCGTGTTGTCGACAATCAGCGGGTACGCCGAGCCAGACAGGGCGTACCAGCCACCGGTCTCGGTCTGGTTGACAAACACGGAGGCGCGGCGCAGGCTGGCGTCTTCCTCGTCCTCGACGGGCGGCGGTGGTTGCGGGAGCAGGGCAAGGTCCGGGTTGCTGCTAAGGGGCACACTCGGCGGACGGGCAACATCAAACACACGGACAACGGGGGTCTCGAGGCGGTGGGTGAAGGACAGCTTGACGTCGCCGGTGCGGGGCGCGACGCTAAAGCCATAGACGTCGCCGCTGGGCTTGCCCGTGATGTAGCGGTTGTCGGAGGGCTGGCGGTACTGGCGGTGCAGGTCGCTGTCGTAGTTGTTGGGACCCCACTCGGAGTAGCGCAGGGTGGCAATCTTGGTGCCGTCGGTGCGGCGGACAATGACCTTGTAGTCGGTGCGGCCCAGAGTAATGGTGCCGCCAACAAAGCACTCTTCGCCGCCGCTGCCGCCCGTGCCGTCGTCAAAGTAGTCGCCGGGGCGCGAGCAGCTCTCGGGGATGTTGTCGCCGCCGTCGCTGCCCATGCCGTCGGCGTCACCCGATCCGTACCACTGGCGCACATGGCCGGTGGCCGCATCCAGGGTCATCATGGTGGAGTCCTTGGTGCCGATGAACACGACAGGGTGCTTGCGGTCGTGGTAGGGCTCCTGGCCGACAATGGCCTTCATGGACAGTCCCGTCTCGGCGAGGCCGGCGGCACCCGGAATCATGGCGTAGATGGCGCCATTGCCAGAGGGTTCGACGGCCCAGGTCCAGTGGTCGAGGGCCGAATAAGTCTTGTCGTCGACGGACACGGAGGAGCGGTGGTGGATGGTCTCGACGACGGGCTTCTCGCTCTCGGTGTGCCAGAGGGTCTTACCGGTCTTGCGGTCGAGTGAGTGGAGGTCGCCGTCGACGGTGGCCAGAAGAACAAAGTCTTCCACTTCCCAGTCTGCCAGCGACCGCGCAATATGCGGCGAAGCGAGGCCCAGGCCGTCGGAGGAGTCGACGGCATCGAGGTCCCGGTGCGCTAGAGAAGGTGCTCGAACGGACAGGTCCGGAGCTACAGTGGCATTGGATTTGTTTGTGTTTTTGGTGTTTTTACTACTTTTGGTGTTTTTCGCGTTTTTTGTGTTGCTGTTGTTGATTTGCGACGTTTCGGTTTTGGAGTCGGGCGTGGCCGCCTGGCTCAATCGTGCGGATTGGCCGGTGGATGTCGAAAACGAGACGCTCGGCTGCGAGGCCGGGCTCGTTTCTTCGGTCAGCGACTTCGACTTCGTCTTGGGCCGCTGTGCTTTGGTTTTTGTCGTTTCAATCTCGACGGTTTCGACTGTCTCGGCGGAGGCGGCCGCCGCCGCAAAGGCGTCGGCTTCGGCGGGCGAGACATAGCTGGCGACGGCGGTGCGGATGTTGGGGTGGCTTTTCGGTTCCTTGATTTCGTTTAGCTCCTGTGGTTGCTTTGGCTCCTTCTTGTCCAGATGTTGTTGTTGCTGCTGCTGCTGCTGTTGAGCATGGACGAGGGCCGGATTCAAGAGAAACAGGGCGATGGCGAGGAACAGCATGCGTTGGCCAACATTGTGACCTCCGGGCCGCCTGCGCATCATGGTGGGGCGAGTGGGCGACGAGGAGCCTTTACATCGGCCCCGATTCCCGGCGTGCTCGTCGACACACCGAGATGATGAGGATAAAGTAGACAAGAGGTGTTGCTGCTGCTGTTGTTGAAAGTCGAGTCGGAGGAGACCGAGCTCCTTCGACACGATGTGGCGATGTGGACCAAAATGGAGAGGTGGAGGCTCGTCGATGGTAAAAAAATAAAAGGATGGAAGAGAAGGGAAGAGGAATCGAAGAAAATTGGCGAAACGGGGAGAGAAAAGAACGACGAAAAGAAAGGAATGGGTTGGAAACGATGAAGGGAGTCGAGGCGTCGAGAAAGGAAAAAGGAGGGCCGACGAAAGGGAGCAGAATGAAACAGATTTGTGTGGGTGACGGGCGTGTTGGTAGCGGATGCTGGCGGAGAAGGAGCGATGGGTATGGGCTTGGTTGGTGAGAACGGAAGGAAGGTAGGAGAGTAGCAAGTCGTACGTTGTCCGTCGCACTTGCCTTGGATGGTGCCTTCTTGGTACTTCTGTGCATGGCGTTCTGGGCGGCCCTAGTAGGGAAAAAAGCGACGAAAACTATGTGGGCTGGGGCACTTCTGTACCTATTCTGTACTGTGTACTCGTATTTAGGTCTCAGGGCGTTGCTGCACACTCCGCGGCCCCACCTGCCGCGTGAAGGGGGGCTCGAGGGGGTGAGAAAAGCAAACGATGAGCGTGCGGACCGGGAGGAAAGAGCCAAACACAGGCCTGGGCGCTGGGCGCTGTGGGATGCTGTGGATTGCGAAGCGATTGGCGGGTGGGTGCACTGTGCGTCGGGCGGTCCTGGTAGTGGGTGACCTGTAGAATGCACCAGAAGACGGTGCACGGACAAGTCGCGTCTCAACACGTGATGGTTCGAGCTACGGAAGACGGTGAGCTGAGGGCGTTCTTCCTTCTGATTTGGCCTGTTTGGCCTGTTTGGCCTGTTTGATACTTGGTATTTACCGTTTCTTTTTCTTTGATCAGCCCCATTCTCCGATATATTGAGTGTATTGTACAACATACAACATGCTCCATGCGTGTCTGCAAATGGTCTCCACGCGGCCGTAACAAGCACGCCCCCAATATGGGTCGCTGCCACTGCCGGACGTCGACGTGCCGCGTTTTCATATGTCTTTGTACTGTGGTCTGCTTGTCTTTCCTGCTTTGTTGTTGATGCAAACCTGCTCGTCGCAAGATACATCTCTTCTGTTGGCAGGGATGAGACGGTCAAAGAAAGCGAAGCGAGGAACAAAAGGGCCGGCGCTCTGCTGCTGGTCTGTTGTTCGTCACCTGTGCCCAAAGCAGTCATATTCCGACACAAGCACGGTGAGAATGGCAGCTGGAGCCCCGCCTGCTGGGTGGGATGCACATCTTCTGCAGCCCCTATTCTGGCCTGTCCCTTTTCAGTCTTGTGTTTACGTGGGATTTCGTGGCGGCGCCATGTTTTCTGCCTCGTTCTGACATGCTGCTATGCAAGGGCGGGCAGAACGTGAAACACGTCTGCGCACTGTATTTAGAGTGCAGTCTCCGCTGAAAAGGCGATATTTATACAGTGTAAATACTGTGTAGATGTGCACGTACCGTCCACGTCTCCGCGGCTTCTTCTGGTTGTCTGTGCTTTGAACCTTCTCAGTATTTTCAAAAACAACGCTCACATGTTTCCCTTCATTCTCGACTCGTTTCGGTGGCGAGTCAGAACTATGGAATCGCGGCATATTCAGAGCCCTGGTCATGTCACGTCTTGTTTATTGACGGAGTATTTATGTATTTGTTATTTTCATTAATTTTCAGCCATCTTTTTTCTCGCGTCTTCCTCGTCCTTCTTTTGCCAACCTTGTCTTTATTTAAATTAGTTCCACCGGCTACAGTCCGTCTGTGCCGTGTCAAGAGTGTGTCTTGATAGCAGACAGTGATGAAAAATACAAAGAACCTGAACAAAAAGGAACACTCTTCAAATCCCTTGCTTTTTCACACCTTTTTCATTGCCTCCTTGGCCCTTCTTCGTATCCCTTCAATTCTTCCTGCAATTCCATGCGCTGCTTTCATCTACAGTTGCCGTCCTCCAGCCTCTTGGATTGCGTCTTGCCTTCTGACTACTTTGTCTTCATATTCTGCTTGTGGTTGATTCTTGCAGGAATGCCGCTGCCTTTCATAGACGCTGAATTTTGAACGCGGACGTCACTCCGGTGCAATTTAAACCCAGCCACCAAAAAACAACAATACGAACGCAGTGCGGGACTCTCATCCCAGGCCAAGTGAACCATGTCGTGTCCCAAATATAGCGTGGTTTAGTTAATCTTAGGTGCTCAAAGTCCAGCCGACCCAAGGCCCTGAGTGTGCCCCGCTCGCAACACCCGTAACGCCAGGGAGAAGCGCCCTAGCGAAAAGTAGCGCCCGCCGGGAGTGCGCTATTTTGCTGCCGGCCACTAAGCCCTAGCTGCGTCGTTGTGTGGCCTGATCCAGTCTCCAGTGCTGTTTTCCCACTGTGCTTCTGTGCTAACGACACGGTCTTCGACGGGCGGGAACGGGGAGGCAGGCCATTCTTTCGCCCTAAACGACACCCCCAGACACTGCCGAAAAGTGCCAAAACAGGCATCAAAAATGAAAACGAAAATGAAAAAGAAGAAAAAAAAAAAAAAAAAAAAAACCCAAAAAGACGAAAAGACGAAAAAACGTAACAGAAGCGTCGCCAAAAACATTCACGACAGTTTACACTGTCCACCCTCAAACGCGACATTCTTGTTCACACTTATTGAGCCCAGTATTGACACAGTTGTCCTTACAGCCGCTCTTCTTATTATGGCTGCTATGTCGTAGATCACATGTCCTATGCCGTTTGTCCACCCAGACTACAAGTGTCCGTCGGTTTCTGCCGCGCTTTGCTATTGCCTCGCTGCAGCCGAGTATGCCGACGGCTCGTCCAGACAGTGACTTGAGACAAAACACTGACGAGGGATACGTGAAGACAAACAGTTCACCTGTGAGGGGGAGCATATTGTCTTGTCCATATTGGTGGACACGTCCCATCGTCTGTCTCGTTCGTCTTGCTTTGTCTCTGCCAAGTCCTCGACGGAACTGTCTCACAGCATGTCGAGAGTCCACAAAAGATCCACAAGTCGGGCGAGCGAGGGCGATGTGAACCCTGTCCGCCCCGTCCTCAAGGTCGATCAATGGGCACTGTCGAGGCCAATCACGACGACCTCGACGACCTCGACAAGCTTGGAGCCCAGGGATGGCACTCGAACTGTCGCCATTGTCTCACAGAATTTTCAAAGTGAGCCGATAAAGGAAGCCGAATAGAAGAAGAAACGAAAGGGGATGAAAAGAAAGAAAGTGAACAGCCATGACTGATGTCCCTCACTGCCGTGGGAGTATACCAAGGTCGATGCAGTGTGCCACGTCAAGACCACGAAAGAAACCCAGATGATCGTCTCGACAGGCAATCTAGATGCTACCGGATCGGTGGAAGGTTATGTGACGCCGCTGGTTTCCCCTTGGGGATCGTTTAGGTTACCAGTGCTGAACAAGATATCTCTCCCACCGCTGCCGCGACCTTTTGGGCGAGCAGTTGGCAGACAGAAACCCGGCGGAGTCGTTGCATTGACGGCAGCGACGCAAGAGATGGAGCGCTTGTCCAGCCAAGAAGGACCATGTCGCCGGGTCAATTCCCGCTGGTCAGTCTGGGGAAGAGCAACGCGACTGGCCTCGTTTATTTCACACACCATAGTTCACGTTTGTTAAGACGGGGCAAGGACAATGCAAAAACATAATACGCGAGACCCGATAGTCCTCGGCATGCGTCAATACTACGTACGTGTGGGCATCTCATTGTGACAGGTTGAAAATGGCTCGCCTTGGAGAGTCTGGCCAAGAAAAGAACGGCAAACGGACAGTAGAAAGACCGTCAAGGAGGGCGTACACTCGGCCCACCTGTCGTGGGTCACAAACACGAGGTGAGCCGACGTCGCTTAACCGTGCCTCGCATAGATGGCACGGGAAGAGGACTGACAGTGGATTGTCGCTTGTCGCTTGTCGCTTGTCGAGTTTTAGTTGTCAATTGTCGTGAACATCCACCAGTCGACTTACTTTACATGTCTTGAAAAGAGCAGGATCAAAAGAAATGGATTATTAAAGGACACGAACCATAAAGCAAAGGCCAAAGTCCCCATCCATACCCGAGCGCCCCTTTGCCCATACCATGATACCCAGAACGTTATCCATACCTGTGTCATCCCATGCAAACGAGCATAAAGGGCGTTTGCCTACCGTGTGCATTTACAACTCCAAGTGTCCGTAAAGAAACCCATTAATTACCCAAAGGACAGAAGACAAAGGGGAAAACGTAAAAAGCAATGAAATAATGAATACCATCATTTATACAGACGATCGTGGAGACTTGACATAGGTCCAAATGGAGGACCGTGGTGCTGCCGGCTTCTTCAGGTCGTCGTCTTCCTCATCAAAGTCGAAATCGGCATCAAGGTCCTCTTTCATGCTTGTGTGGCTGGCACGCCCACTCCCGTGCGGACTCGGGAACCGCGCACTTTTGGGCGTCAGCAGCGGCCAACGTTTCTCTGGTGGTGATGTCATAGTCGCAATTGCTGCTGTTGCTGCTGCTGCGTCCGTTGACACGGAGCAGGCCACGTTCGCGGCGGCAGCGGCGGCGGCGGCGGCGGCGGCTGCGCCCCGCCGCTGTGCTGCTGTCACGCCCATGATATCCTCCCAATTGTTCATGCTGGGTGCGCGGCGGGAGCTGCCGGGCCGGAAGAGGGCCCGCAAGATGGGAATGGAGGCTGCCATGATCGTGACGTCGACCTCGGCCATGCCCCACGCGGCCAGCTGGACACTGTCGACTGGTGGAGGGAGGGAGGGTTAGTGGATTTTACTTTACATACGGGCGGGTATGGGACGAGCGGCATACTAATGTCTGGCGACTCGAGCGTCGCTATCTTTGTCGTCTTGATGGCGGCCGAGAGGCCGGCACT